GTCGGAGCTTCAAGAAGGAGAAGCTGGGGAGAGCCCAGAGAAGAGCGGCTCGGCTGGTGCGATTCAAGGCGACGCGAGGACAGGCTGGCGACGCGGGACTGTTCAGCCTAGGAAAGAGAAGACTTTGGGGGAACAGGTGGCAGTTTGCAAACATATCCGGGGAGAGCATCAGGGGCTCGGCGAGCAACTATTCATCAAAACGCCCCAGGAGCGATGGTCATGAACTCCTAGAAGGAGGTTTCAGACTGGATATAACTGAAAATATCTTCGTGGCTCATGTGACCGGACTGGAACAGACTCCCAGCCGGGGTGGTGCAAGCACCGACCCTGGAGATCTTCAGAAGGAGACTGGACGCACGCCTCACCGGGGTTATTTGACCCCTGCAGTCTTTCCTGGCCAGAGCAGGGGCCGGCCCCGACGATTTCACCAGGTCCTTTCCAGCCCTGAACTTCTGCGAATTGGGGGCTAGGCTTTCCGCTGTGAAGAACTGCCTGTATCTTGTCACCCATCAGCAAGTGTCCCGTTGCGTGCGTCTCTAAGCACCGCCAGCTTTGCCGCAGCCTTGGCTGCTAGCATGCTCTCATCGCCTTTCTCCAGCATTGCCAGAAGAAAGGAAAAAAAAAAAAGATTTTTTTGCTAACTGCACAGTAACATCATGCTATCAGGGAAAAATCATTGCGTTGAAAAGCTTCCTTTGTGTGCCTAGGACCAGTGGAAGATGTGTTAATAAATTGTTGCAGTGAGTGGATTCCAGCTGACTTTTAAAACCCCTTTGATTCCTCTCAGTGTTTCTGCCCTTAGGAAAGCATCAGGCACTAAGCTACCTGACTTCCGTGTACAGAGGAAGAGATTAAAAAGAGAGCTGAAATAGAAGGGCAGAAAGGATGCTACACACAGTACTTACAGTGTGGAGGGATTAAGAGGAGGGAAGAAGGCAGGGAAGTGAGATTTAATTGTCACCGCAAATAGAAAAGTGACACTGGGGAGAGGCAATAGCCAACAAAGCGGCACAAAGGGGGAAGATTGGGGTCAGAGGTTTGTAGCGTAAATGGTGTCCTCACCGTCACTTGTTGCAGCACTTGAGTCTTCCAGTGACGTTTCCCACCCACACAATGAATTGGGTATGGCTCTTCTTACCCTATTAAAATAGCAAATCCCTGTTTCCTTTTCTTGATTCATTGCACATATCAAAGGCACCAGCATGAATTGGTCCTCTGCAGGCAGAGCTTTCTGTGAACCTCCCCAAATTCAGAGTAAAGACTTAATAAAACTGTACAAACAAGACTGCCGTCGTGATGGAAAAATGCTTGAGGATTCAGCCAGGGCAAGGATGGTTTAAGCTGCGGATGAGTTCTAGGGATGGTGCTGGGCAGATGTAGAGAAGAGAACTGGTTGCATAAATAATAAAAAGTTTCAAGTATAAAAACACCCTCAAAACTTCAATTGCTGAACTTGAACAGAGTGAGCTGGGAACAAGCCATATAAAGTCATCAGATTTCCTTCGATCAAAATGAAACCTCACTGGCAGTAGCCGCCTGTTGACTGTAATGACCACGCCTCCATCTGCTAACACTCACATGAAGCATGCATGATCACCCTTGGAGAGTTTAGAGAAGACAGGACTTTGCAGACAAGCATCGGTTTGGAGCAAGACTTCTTTAAGGGTGTTTGATAGGGGCAGCAAAACCGTACTGGTTTTGGCATGATGTTGGAAAAGTGTTCCTTCTGTAAAAATGGGGTACGTACTTTTGTAACCTTCTTTTGCTCGTCTCCTTGAGAACTACAGAAATTGTAGGATTGTTTGCTAATTCTGCCCAGTTGCAGTTAGTCTTTTCCTCTCTTGCCTCTTCCATATTTTAGTTTTAGTTCTGTTTCAGGAATGCGTAAAGCCAATAAAAGTTGAAAAGAAACCTGGAAAAGCAGCAGCTAAGATCCGAATTGAAGATGATGGGAGCTACTTTCAGATCAATCAGGTAGTGTCTTCCCACTTGTGTAAAATAGTTAGAAATTGCCTTATTGTTGTGTGTTTCATAGGTTTACAACTACTAAGCATCTCAGATGGGTGGGGACGGGACAGTGAAGACATGACAATAAACAGTTAGCTCTGTGGCCAGCCCTCTTGGATATTTTTCATATTGAAAAAAAAAATGTATCTTTCTTCCTAGAATGATATAGTGAGATGGGAGATCATCACTTTTACTGTCCCAGTTTTGTAATCAGAATCTACAGCTGCAAACCTTGTGTCGTTTGAGCTCTGAAATAGATACACCACTTTTTGCAATTCTGTTAATGTAAGAAAAATTAACATTAAAGTTAGTGAGCGAGTGATATCCTGAATCCAAAATAGAAGGTTTGACATGATGCATGTCCTCACTGACATTTCTCTAATCCATCTTCATCATGGCACTGAAATGCAGAGATTCCACTAATGCATCTTTGCGTACAGGGTACAGAGATGAAAAGAGGCAACATCTTTCATGTTTAAAGCTATAGACGTTGCAAGCAACTAGTGTTTTTTTATGGCTGGGACTGGATCTAAACTCTTTCTTTCTAGGATGGAGGAACAAAAAAGCTTGAAAAGGCTAAAATTACCCTGAATGACTGTCTAGCATGTAGTGGCTGCATCACCTCAGCAGAAAGTGTGTTAATCACTCAGCAAAGCCATGAAGAACTCTACAAAGCATTAAGTTTTAATAAGGTAAATGAACTAAGCGGTTCACTAATAAGTTTTAGTAAGGTAAATGAACTAAGCGGTTCACTAAACAGCAGGATAGACTGAAGGATTTGAAAATGACACCATGTTTGAGAGGCTGATGTGAAAATAGCAGAATCTGAAATTGTAAGTTCTGTAAGAACCAGAACTGACTGTAGTATTTCTTCTCTCAGTACAATACATCCATCTATTGCATCCATTAAGAAATTTGGTGTAGATTTATAAAAGACTTAATATTTAAAACTTGTGATCCCTGGATGTAAAAATGTAAAGCATAGCTGATAGTGAGTGTAACCATCTCATCACTAGAAAAAACCTTAACCAGAACACACACAGACTGTGGAGAAGCATCTTAAAAAACACTAACATGCTAAAAGATATCAGTTACTCTGCAGTGTAACTGTCCAGGGAACGTTAATGTTTTATCTCTTGTTTTTCAGACAGCAGCTCCTAGTGAACAGAAGCTGATTGTAATTTCTGTTTCACCACAATCCAGGGCATCGCTAGCTGTGAGATTTAAGATGAATCCTCTAGAAACAGCAAAGAAACTGACAGCTTTCTTAAAGAACCTTGGTGAGCACATTACAGTCTAAATCACAGGTGGAAATTCTGGGGCATATCTTCTGAGCATATTTTAAGTGCAAATTCTGTTAGTCTGTATTAGAGCTGCATGAATAAGCCTTCAGTCATCTGTTTCAAAAACAGTAATAATGGAAATTCACAATCTCCTATAACTTTAAGGCATCGTAAACTCAGCAGGCAGGGAAGGAACCTAGATCATTTCCAGCTGTCAAATCATTTTTAATGCAGGTTTATTCTGCTTATTTGCTGGAAACCGACCTGCTTGTAGTTACAACATTCCATAAATAACAGGACATATACGAAGATGTAACCTAATTGGGTTGGGGCTTTTATTGCAGCTTGCGGTGTTTTGCCTGTGTGTTTAATTCCAATCCCTGTATTACCTAGGCGTGCACTATGTGTTTGATACAACCTTCTCTAGAAACTTCAGCCTCCTAGAGAGCCAGCGAGAGTTTGTGAAACGTTTTCGAAGGCAAACTGAAGACAAAAGGGCTTTGCCTATGTTGGCCTCTGCCTGTCCAGGTACGTTTTAAAATGTATATAAACTATGGGTAGATAAGTGATGAAATCCTGGGACAAACTGTCAGTAAAGAAAAGCAGCACTATACTGCTGAAAATGTTAATCTGGCTAAAACCACATGTAAGTGAGAACAGAATGGCTTTTAGTGGCATGCAGTTAATTATTTGAGGTTCTTTTAGCAGTCTGTTCAACTTAAAATAGGCACTCCTATGATAAAGTATATTATAAAAGTTCTTTAATAGTTTTATAAAGAAATATTCTTGTTTTCATAGTTTCATAGTAGCTAGGGTCAGGAGGAACCTGAACAGATCATCTAGCCTGACCCCCTGCCACAGGCAGGAATGAATGCTGGGTTCACAAGACCAGCATTCAAGTTCTCGAATAATTAGATTAATTAAAAGACCTGATCTAAAACTTCAAGTGAGCAAGTTACTTTGAGAAACTAGTTTTGTCCCAAGCTCTTTCTTAAGAGCCTACACACATTCTGTATGCGGAAGAGACTGAAAATGGTTATTATTAAATGATAGCATGATTTAAAAGTCATGGCAGTGAATCAATATGCTTCCTATTTCTTCTCAGGTTGGATCTGCTATGCTGAGAAAACCCATGGAAGCTTCATTATTCCTTATATTAGTACAACCAAGTCTCCACAGCAGGTCATGGGCTCTTTAATCAAAGGCTATTTTGCAGAACAACAGGTAAAGTTTGGTGTTGACCATGATTGGCAGGAAGCTGCAGAAGTTAGATTTTAAGTTGCTTCTAAAATGACTTGAACGGTTTAAAAAATGACTGATTTTCTGACGTGAAAACATTGGAGTGCTAGCAAGGCAGCTGACAGTAGTCTCCATTTGGATCTGTGAAGATCTATAAATGGTGTGAAGGCATTAAGGTGAGATCCTGTCACCATACTCCTTCAAGCATTTTACCTCCACATCCACCTCCCTACTTCTGCCTGCTCTTAGAGGGTGACCATCTCTCCACCTTCTTTCTGCTTCCAGCAAGAGCTGATCAGTAGCATTTTCAATCTTGGTGCTCAAAGGCCACTTGAAATGTCTGCACGTTATTTAACAACTGTAGAACGGGATTTTCTGCATCCCTTCTTACCATCCCATTTGCTTTACCAGTGCATTTTGATAGAATTTAAGTAATTTAAAACAAAACTGCTATGATCGTGTCTAAGACAGAACTTGAGTTTGTGCATTCATGCAGATCGTACTTTGTCTAAAAATGACTTGCTTTTTCCAAGCTTAGTGTTTCTATTTCAGTTTGATATAATTCGGTTCTATATTTTAAACCCTCTGCGTTTCCTCTCAAGTGTCATTCTGATGCCTGAAGACTGGTGTCATGCTAATAGCCAAGAATTAAGTCTACTAAGAAACTTAAAACATTGCTGATGCTTTCATTCATTATCCATTAGCGAGCACTGCTTTAACATGTGTGTTAAATAAGCTTGGAGATCTATGTACTCATTACAGAAGTTGGCAAGGACTCAAGGTATTTGGCAAGAGATACTGAAACAATGGCTCAAATTCAAAACTTATTTCCTTGACCTCTGCTTGTTTCTTGGATGGTGGTGAACTTTAATGCAGTGTCTGCCTTCAGTTTGTTTGCTGGAGATGCTGTTAGCAGAACATAAGTTCTTGTTTTCAGTCTGGGCTGTAAGGGTGGATAGGAAGCTTATCTTCTGACTAAGCATGTAATTAGGGACTCCCGACTGCCTGAGCCTGCCAGGAGCATCAGCTTCAGTAGAGAAAACAGGAAAAGGTATTACTGAAGTGTGCTACAGATGGTGATTCTGTTTCTCCTGTGCAGTTGGGCAGGGACAGAAAGATATTAAATCTGTTTTTTAAAAGGAGAGGATTTCCAAAGGTAAGGTTGCAGTTAAATGGCTTCATTCTCATTTGTGCCTTTGCAGTTCTCTCTCCCAGTGTGTTTAAAATCAGTGAAACTAACCGATATTCTTGGGTTTTTTGCAGCATTTAACCCCTGACCAGATATATCACGTGACAGTGATGCCCTGTTACGACAAAAAACTAGAGGCTTCAAGGCCAGACTTTTTCAACCAACAGTATCAAACTCGGGACGTAGACTGTGTGATTACGACGGGTAAGCAGAACCAGAGATGCTCCAGCTGACTTTCCTTCCACTACTGCACACGGGACACAGCGCTTTGTAAAGATGCCCTTGTGTCCTGTGGCCTGTTTTTAGGAGCACATCTGCAGCTAGACTGACCATAGACTGACCATAGCTTAGAAACAGTGAAACTCTGTTAGAGAGGATTACATTATACTCACCTCTGAGCTCTCCAGGCTCAGATGGCTTCTTTCAGCACACCCTCTGCTGTGCCGCAGAAAGAAGTTAGGCTGTGAAAAACTTCTCCTGAGGGCACCATTATGAATACAGGTTTTGTGCCCATGAACACTTTCTCTTGTTTGGGGCACGGGAAGGAGACTGGAGAAGAAACTGAGCACTTATATCTATGGTTCTGTTCTAGGAGAAGTGCTGAAGTTGTTGGAACAAGAAGGGGTCTCCCTGTCAGATGTGAGTGCTGCTCCTTTGGATGCTATGTAAGAACAAATAACCTTGCTAACACCTTTAGTGATCTCTCATTTAAGCACAGCAACAGAATTCCCCTTTCCCAAAACAGTTTCACAATACAAAGGCTGCACATTTTTGCATCTTAAGTTCTACTCCAAATCTCTCTTTCACATCTAATGGGTTTTGAATTCAAGTGTGATTACGCCTCAAGCCATTTGGAGATCCGCAAAAGGAGGTCAACGAATATGAAGTCACTGGGTGTTATAGGCTTGGCATAACCCAAGCAGTAAGTTTGCCCTAAATCAGCAGGACTGGGTGAATTCACTCATTTAGAATATACTAGTCCCTAAGAGCCTGGATAACGTAGTCTTTGATAATTGGATACTGAACACGCGAGTATTCACTATAGATTTCACTATCTGCTGAAATGTCTTTAAAAAAAAAACTACCACAAGCTTGGAAGCTAATAAGCAATTGGAGGGGGAAAAAGTTAATATTCTAGTCCAGTGGGGGCCAACCTTCTTGGCAGGCATGCCACAAATTTGCCCCACCCACCCTTGCTGCTGCCACTACAATCCACTTCCCCTGTCTGATCTGCTGCTCTGCTTTCTGCTCCCTGCTCAATTGCTGCTGTGTTTCTTTCCCGGCCACACACAGACTGCCGGTGCTGCCCCTGCTGTAGAATGATGGAGACTAATTTGATGGGACGCAGAAGCCTACTGCTCTGCTGTCCTTAGTTCAAGTGTGTTCCCCAGCAGGCAGAGTACTGTATATATCCCATTGCTAAAGCTCAAATGAGGAAATATCTAGATCACTTTAGCTACTCCGTGGGAGTTCTTTTATTCAATAAAGCATGCTATCTTTTAAGCATGTGCGATGCAGATGAGATTTTAATTGCATTAACTGAAAACTGACCCTGCAGGCTCGATGTCAACCACATACAGACTAGAGGACTTAGAAATCATAGTTCATGTGCTTAAATTGACATCAGCTGCAGCATACCACGTTGAACATGAAATTGAAAGGACCCGTCTTCATCAGCCTGTAGAAAATGACCTTGTAAGAAAGAAACAGCATGTGCCTAACAAACCCAGTGAAGTTGAGGAGCGTTTAGAGAAGACAGCGGGTGTATGTGACCTAAGTGGCCAGTGCACAAATACTTCATATGCTCAAGAGTGGTAGTGAAAGCCCCAGCCCTGCAGCGAACGGCACCCGTGCAGACTACTGCACCTGCTCAAATCTCTGTGGGACTCCATGCAGCTCCATCAGTCCACTTTCACCTACAGGATTGGGGCCTTCATCTCAATCCAGATTGTAAGTGAAATTGTGCTTGGTTTTTCCTAAACCTCACATAGACAAGAGCCAAGATAATAAGTCTCAGCACTCCTAGCAGTTTCTATTCAGCAGAATCGCACTTTGGACTAGTTAAGTCTGGTTAGGCTCTGTATGTTGGCAGGGCTCTAGGAAACCTTGGGGATGGGGCAGTATACTTTCATGGGGTCTGCTTGATCATAAAAACACCACATAAACTCTTCTTACCGACACTTCTGAAGCAATAAAAGGGAAAAAGTAGCCACTTCCAATCTACAATTTTTTTAAATTTAAAACAAAAACCCAAGGGGAGACGCAGTCTCTCTTATAAATTGCCACCTTAAGGAATTCAGCATGGAAAAATCTGCCATGTAGCTGGGCCATTTAAATTTCATTTGCTTCTGTCTCTCTGCTAGACTTACTGGAAAGTCCTAAAGGGATCCTGAAGTGTTTGAAAATGCAGTGCTGGGATGGAAGTGTCAGTTAGAAAGTGGAACCAGATGTCCAACGGTTCGATAAAGTCTTTGGCTAAGCTATCAGAACGGCATGCTGCGCCTCATGCTTGTGGCGATAATGCTTCTCTGTAACCTTTTGCTAGCCTTAACCTACTCGATAAATCACCTGGTCACAAACCGCACGTATTCCATAAACCTGGGAGGATTCATGTAAGCAGTCAGATGGCTGTTATTCCAATTTATCCCTCAACACGTGGAAGAGGCCATTAAGAGGTTATTCAATTTGGCAGCA